TCCTCCCTAAAGTCAAAGAAATTGCTTGTTTCTTAGAATTTTAGAAATACAATAACATCCTATATCTTTTATACAAAATTAACGGCTTGGGTGTTAGTCACGTTGCTGCAACAAGAGATCACATGGTTGCATAGATTACAAATCCAAGTGAATTGTCATTGATAAAGGATAAGGAAACGCTGGAGCTTGATTCTTTTGACATTAGAGCAAGGTGCCGAGGTCTGACTTTTTTTATTTAAAGTTAAAGTGCTTCTAGATCAAGTCGTGCTTCTAGATCAAGTCATGCTTCAAATTATCTTAAATACACCGCTACTTCTAGTTCTACCTTGAATTTAATTTATAAATACCAACGATACTAATCGTTTAGAGTTTGACTTTGTATTTGTTATTTGGATTTTGGCTTGATTTTTTTTTCCGGACTGTCGCTGTTGGATGGCCAGATCCACCCACTACCATGTATAATTAATTACCACTTTGAACTGCGTACTTCTATGATCATGTCGTTCAAACTGAGGTGCTAGCTAGCCTAACCCCCAGACAAGTATTTATTTGAATTTTCAAATATAGTCCCCATTGCCCTTTGAAGTTTGAACTCAGGCACTCATGCATTTATATCATGAATATAAATATTTTTAGCATCAATGTCAAACGGGTGGAGCATAATTAAAAGTATAGGATAGGGTATATAGTTAAAACTTTATTAGATTTTAAGTTTAAATTTTATAAAAATGGATTTGATTCATCTCAGCTCTAACACTTTGATTTTTTTTTTTTTTCCTTTTTTTCCCTTTACTTGAAGTTCATAGTTTAATTAGTAAGCATTAATTAGTTGTATGTGCACCAAATCCCCCTCCCTCAATATCAACAAAAAAAATAACATTTTTTCCCCTACATTTAGGTGCAACTTGCAAGTTGAAAGTTGAAACAGCCATTTAGAATTCTGCATTATCTACTAATTATTTACTTTCGGCAAGTCCACTTATTTTATTTTGTGTCTACACAGTACACTTTACCCTTTCGGAAATTTTTAATGTACTCAAAATAGTTGAAGATGCATGAGACTTATATACCATCTATATCATTTTTGTCTATCCTACTCCTACTTTCCAACCAAATTAATGGAAATATTGCATTCCCCAGTTGTGTACCATTGATGGCCACCGCAACTCAACAAAATTGTTGGTGGATTGCATCATGACCAGTGATCGAATCTTGTCAAAAAATAAGGTACTATCTTTTAATTTCTAATTTCTAACCTCTAATTATTGTCCTATAAAAAAAAATGAAAATATATAGTAGTATAAAGTTTCCTGCATGTTATGTGGTGGTAATCATGTATACTATATATGGCCTCTAATGGTTGCATCTGTCCTCCACTCTCTCGCTCTCTTCCACCCTCAAAATGCTGATCAGATCCACCTCTCATCTGCCGGCCATTCTTTTCTTGCTCTTTGCAGCTGCCTCTCTTGTCTGTTCGTCTACACCACCTGCTCAAGAGCTTCTCAGAGGTTTTACAGCAACACCGGACCCTTCAGTTTCATCATTCCAGTCTCTCCTCCAGGATTCCACGGGCAATTTCTCACTTGGTTTCCTCCGACTCAACTCCAACCAACTCGCTCTCGCTGTCCTTCATGTCCCCTCGAATGAACCCATCTGGCTCGCCAATCTGAACCAGCTGGTTCGCTGGTCAGACCGCACACAACTCCTCTTCAATGGCAGTCTCGTAATTTCTGACCCGATTACGAAGGTGTTTTGGTCTACCGAGACGGATGGCAACCGTGTCGTGCTTCTCAACTCTTCCAATTTACAAATACAGAATTCCAACGCCTCCCCGACTGTACCGTGGCAGAGTTTTGATTTTCCCACAAATACGGTCGTCGAGAATCAAAACTTCACATCTACCATGTCTCTTGTTTCTTCAAATGGGTTGTACTCCATGAGGCTTGGGAACAATTTCATCGGTTTATACGCAAAATTCGAAGCAGACACAGAGCTATTCTACTGGAGACACAGGGCGCTAGAGGCCAAAGCAAATATTGTTGAAGGCGGCGGACCCATTTATGTCCGAGTCGACCCCGATGGCTACCTGGGTATGTACCAAAACGGAAGCACGCCCGTCGACGTAGAAGCCTTTAGCAGCTTTCAACGGAACAACAACGGGTTCCTCATGGTCCGGTTGGAACCGGACGGAAATCTCAAAGGGTACTACTGGGACGGGTCCACCTGGGTCTTAGATTACCAGGCGATTTCCGACCCGTGCGAGTTGCCCAGCCCCTGTGGTCCGTACAGTTTGTGCACGCCCGGATCGGGTTGCTCCTGTTTGGATAACAGGACGGAGATTTCCTCCGGCAGGTGCGACGCTTCGTATCCCGACAACCTGTGCGGCGTCGATGGTGGAGAATCCGCAAACAACTTCAACGTTTTGAGGAAGAACGGCGTCGAGTTACCGTTTAAAGAGTTAATAACCTACCAAACGACGTCGTCTCAAGCCGAATGCGAAGGCTTATGCGAGAGGAACTGTAGCTGTTATGGTTCGGTGTACAACAATGGATCCAGGTTCTGTTATTTAGTGGATTACCCGATCCAATCTCTGTTGAGTGACGGTGATGAGAGTAAAATGGGGTATATTAAAATAAGCGAGAGTGCAAGGAAGAAGAAAATAACGGCGGGTCTAGGAGTGGGGATCGGACTATTAGGTGGGGCCATGGTGTGCCTGATTGCGGCGGTCGGGGTGGGGAGTTACAGGATGTGGAGGAGGCGGCGACGGGTTAAAAGGATGTTGGAGGAGGAAGACGGGGGTGCTATACCCGGGCCGTATAAGAATCTTGGGTCGGGAAGCTCTAGGTCGATTGAGATGACGTAAGGGATGACATTTTTGGCAAGGTTTGGGGTTTGACTCACTTTTGTTGGGTTACGTAACTTATATTAGTGGTAGTAGGGTCATCTAACCTTTTACTACTAGGACTATATTTTTTATTTTTAGTGACGAAGGTGGAGACAACCAAATCTAATGTTTCATTTTTGGGCGGTTTGTATTCCATAGATGATAGTCGGTTTACGTGCACCGATAGGGCATGCTTTTTGTCACACCATAATATACGAAGGTGACATAAATTTGGTAGTATCATCTTTAAAAAATTTAGTTTTCTTATCAATAATTTAAATAATTTATTGATAATTTTTTTTTGTTGAAAATAAGAGATTCTGAATTCTAATCACATGACATGCAAGTAAAGTCAGTTAAAAAATAAGAAATGATTATTTTTCATCGTACAATCAAGATAAAATAAAATTTAATTTTCCTAATGTTCAAAAAAAATAGTTTTCTTAATTTAATTATTAAAAGTAATTACTTGTTATTTAATAAAAATTAATTAATAATTAATTAATTAATATTTATTTTTATTGGATAATATATTAAAATTAATTTATATATTGATGTTTTAACATATTGTTTTTTTTTAGTACAATGTGAGACAAATATTTTTTATTTTTTATCTCATTTTATCTATATATTATACAATTAAAATTTAAAATTTTTTATTTTTAATTAAAAAAAATAACTACTGAAGCACTTGTTACTTGGACTTAACATATTGTTATGCGTTGATAACCACACCCGCACCAGCAGGTCGCTTTTAGAGCCCCATTTATAATTCGAACATAATTGAGATCGTCAAATGGAGGCCGCCTGGCCCTTATATTAAGGATTTGCTCTCATTTAATTAGTTTAATGTAGTTTTGTGTTGTTTGTAATGCACAAAATATTTCTGTTATTATATTTCATATGCTCCAATATGTTTTGTTATACTGTTGGTTATAAGGATTTGCTCTCATTTAATTAGTTTAATGCAGTTTTGTGTTGTTTGTAATGCACAAAATATTTCTGTTATTATATTTCATATACTCCAATATGTTTTGTTTTACTGTTGGTTATAGTCAAGGACACAGCTTAGTTATATATTAGGTCCCCAAAAATTTGAAAACAATTAACATAAAGAGCTTTTCTATTAATATGCCCTCCAAAAAATTCTTTTTTAATCATTTGGCCCTTCTGGCCCTTCTTTCAATTTTAATTAAGCTCCTTTCCTAAATATAGTTTAATTGAAAAATATTTTTTTAAAATTTTTATATCAAATATAATAAAATAAAAAAAGACATTCTACCATTAAAAATATCAAAAATATTATAATTACAATATTAGACGATGATTGACACATGTCGCAATTCCTCACCCTCCATTACACACTCTCATTACGTTACTTAATTCGTTAAGTTTGTTATTTACTCCGTTAACTCTGAAGACACCTAATAGCGGCAAGTTCCTGCTCCTTCCCTTCCTCTTCTACCACCTTGCTATTCAGCAAAACCTAGATCGGGTTCTACAACCCAAATGCAGCATCTGGGTTCTACTATAGATCTCGATCTGGGTTCTGCAACCTAGATGCAAAACCCATATAGGAATGAGGAAGAGAAGGAAAAAGAGGGGGAGGAGAGGGAAAGAAAATCAAAGACTAAGGTTGGGTGAAGAGGAAAGTTGTGTTGGGTGAAAAGAAGAGCTATTGGGTTAACGAAAGAAACGGAGACGGAGTGAGTGTATGACGGAGGGTGTGATGACAGAGTGTGCATACATCATTTTCCTATAATATTACATGATATTATAAATTTACAATATGATGTATTTTTATATAATTAATTTTTTATTTAAAAGTTAATCTATAATATTATATGCATATATTTATTTACTATCATATTATACTCATTTAATGTTATATTATGATTATAAATTTACAATATTATATAATATTATAATTATAACATTATTTTTAACAATATTAAGATGCCTAATCTCAACTATAAGATAAGGTGAAATTTCAAATTGTACATTCCTTTTATATATATATATATATGAATGGCTTGTTTCGGTCCAATGACATTGGACCCTAGGTTAGGGCCATTCACCTTTTATGAATTATATGTTTGAGTCCCACAAAATTTTTTTTGCCCTTTCTCGAATTAATATGTAAATAATTGTAATATATTAAATATATATGTATGGGAATAGTGTCTATCCATCTTACCTCTTAAGGATTATGAAAAAATCATTTCAAAATTACGTCGTTTCAATAAATCCTCATTGAAAAAGACAAAATACCTTATTTTTAAAGCATGAATTAGAGTGTTTTTTTGTCTTTTCTTATAGTACTTTATTAAAACTATATATTTTTGAAATAATTTTCTCCTAATCTTTAGGAGATAAAGTGGATAACCAATAATCCTTATATATATATATATATAAAGGATTTTTTAAATTTCCCGAAGATCCTAATTTAAACGTCATTAGATTAGGCCGAAAAATTGAAGTTTAAAGTTTTGGACCCGGTCAGAAGCCTAGGGACCAGTAGGCCTGGAATGGCCTCCCTGATATGGCCTACAAACAGAATTGTGCGGCCCATACCAGGTTTTCCACCGTAAAACAGAAAAAGCCCATACCAGATTTTGAACCTGGTAAATATCAATGGTATATTGAACTTTTAATTGGGCTGAAATGTTGTCCAATAAAATGAGAGAACTGAAAAATGAAAATTCGTCCGTAGTATTGTCTCTGTCTACGTAATATACATCTTTCTCAACATTTAAATACATTTCTCAGCCGTACGTTTATGCAGAAACATGTCCTTGTTCTCCTTTTTGGGCCATGTTCTTCATCTCCTTTTCCTTGCTGCCTTCCTTATGAATTAACTTGTTTTTTGTGGCCTTCCTAGTAATCAACTTGCTAAACTACATAACTTTTGTCACTATCTATTCATCGCTTTCGAATTAGCAAATTGTCCTAATGCTATTATTGTGTCAAAAACTGTTTTACCTAAAAATTTAAGTTGATAGGTGAGGAATTGAATATATACTTTCTCATACTCGAAAAGAAAGGCACATTTTGAAGTGAAGCAATGTAAAATACTTAAAAGAAAGATTAAGAATTGAAGAATATTCCGAGAGAAGGCTGCAATTGGCACACATAACTTGTAAACCCTTCTCACAGCTTTTTGTTTGCTTTCTACTCAAGTAAGGAAAGTCTTTCTTATACTTTACCCATATTCCATCCTTTTCTGCATGCTTGCTTGCTTCTTCCTGAAATTGTAGTTCTGCTCTATAATGATTGTCACTAGTGTCTGCCCTTTTAGGCTTTTACCAGTTCCCTTGACTGCGCATGCAGATATCATTTAATACTGTCAGCAGCTAGGCTGTTAAGGAAGGGATTGACTGATGGTGATAGTCAAACAACGCTATATTTTTACTATAAATTTTCACAATTTCACGATACAGTTAATTTATTTAGTTAAATTTCACAAAGTAATGTCTATTCATTAGAAGCTTTACCATATGTATACGTTAATGATCATAATTATTTAGGTTGGAAGATTTCCAAATATATATTACCATTAAATACTCAGTCACCCACGAGCGGGTGGATAAGTTAACAAGGGATTCTTTCAGTTTAATCAAAAATTTTGATTTTAAGTTTTAAGAATGCAACTCCATTAAAACTCGTGACGAAGAGTTTTACCGCCTATTAAGTCATGCCTAGTTCGAATCCAAATTAGTCGGTGACCCAGTGACCATTTGAATATTAAGTGGTTAAAAAAAAAAAAAAACTCCGCCAGCTTTTGTTATTGGTTTAGAATTGTTGGGTGGTTGGAAGACTAAGAGGGAAGGGAAGGTTTATCTGATGAATTTTGTACATTTGGTGGCAACCTTTTCTAGTCCTATATATTGCACTAAATTTTTTCACATGTGAGTTTGACTTTGCTCCCCTGTACCTATTCTGTTGTTGTAATTGCAGTTGAGGGACTTAATTTTCTGAATAATTTTGGAACTTAATTTATATAACCAACTCTTGCCTAAGAAAAAAAATGTACGTTTAATTAATTAAGATTCCAACAGACGTTCTTCAATCTTGCCTAGTAGAAGTTGCTATGGAGATCTTTTGTTTATAGGGTAGTTGGTTCAGTACGTAATAGGTTGGTAATATCCAATCGAGGTTTTGTCTCTATCTATCTAATTAATTCCTTAAGAATTTAGTTATTTGACGCTAGAATACCATCATTTAACTATATCACTACAAGTTGAAGGTTTTATATTCTAATATTAAAATGTCATGTTAGAAGAGTAAAAACTAGAGGAATTAGTTTAGAAATCAAAGTAGCACTTGTAATTCAGGTGATAAATTGCATGTTTCCGGAAGTGGAGTTACAATCCGTCCCTCCCTAGCCAGTATCAACTAAAGAAAATTAGAAAAGAAAAAAAAAAATCAAACATCAATACAGGACAAGTCAAAACAGGGTAAGAGCAGGTAAACTAGTCAATTTCACATACATTGTCTGGTACATAAATTGTAACATAATAACACATTATAGGATCAAAGGTTGTTGTCTTACTCCATGTGATTTTCCGGAATCTTGGGTTATCAATGAAAAATATTTATGAGTGGGAAAAAAGGGAGGTTAAATTATAGAACCTGAACTCGACCTCAATCGAATCAATAATTGTCAATCAAGAGCAGTCTGATTTTAGAAACATTGATTAAGGTGAGAAAATTTCCCAATAATTGATTTGAATGTGGTTTTCACAACATCATATCATCTTGGTAGAACTTCTTAACTTTCTTCGAATTCACGTTTAAGTGTGACTATAATCACATAAATATTTGTTAAAACTATACAAATGTATTATAAATTCATTTTGCTTGATTGATTTTATTAATTTATAATTGATATAAGATTTTTTTTTATTTAACAGTTTGAGTGTCTATAGATTAGTTTGTACACCTCGATATTAATTTTTTTTTTAATTTTAATCAAAAGTAAGTTATTTATATCAAAATTAAAAAATTTATGATAAATTATTTTTTGACTGCTTCAAGGAATAATTGATTAAGATGTTTCAAATTATAACATATAAATTAGTTTTAAACTGTTTACTAATAATATCAACTGTGTTATAAATTATCATCACCTATCAATTACTCTTACAGTCAAACCAAACATTCTCACAATATTTTGTTTTTGTAATACTCTGACATATCTTTATGCAGCAATAACCTCTTAATCATGCCCTTGCTTTCGGCCCATAATAAAATTATTACTCGTTCTCAATTATTCAATAACCCAAAATGAAAGCAATAAAGTTCTCTAGGAAACTTCATCTTTAGATCTGTGGATTTCTGTTTTAGCCTTTAGGCTTGTGTCTAATCATGTCTCCTTGTTTCCTATAGATTTGTTTTTTTTTTTGAAAATAGGTAATGGTGTTTCCTATAGATTTAGATAAGTAGGTTTGTGGTTAATTGGTCGCTTTCCCTTTTAAATTCTGCAAAGCTTCTATCAGTGGTCAGGTGGATCCCGCGACAGCCCTCAAAATTAAAACCGTCCAAAGGGAAATCCCACGCAAAATCTCCAAAAGAAAAAAATTATTCATTTCCCAAAATTAATTAATTTACTCCCGACTCTAGATGTAACCGTAGGTAGCATTACTTTTCTGGTTTTAGTGAGATCTTTTCGGTTTTCTGAATTTTGGGTATTGTTTTTGTAACTGAAACTGCATGTGGACTAAATTAAATTACTAAAGTCTTTGAAGTAGGGTTATGGGGGAATGACATACTTCTTTAATCTGAGTTGTCTTTGGGTGTAGCAGGTGAATCAAAAGACAGTTTTAAATTCGTAGGGTCCCAAAAATCACTGTCATCATCAACCCGTAACTCCCATCTTATCTGATGCCAATCACATCAACGAAGTTTATAAAATTTTAATCTGTACGAAATATTGTCAAGACTTTTTTAATAAATAAAAATTCGTAATTTTAAGTTAAAAATTTTAAATTTTAAAATTTAAAATTAAAATAAATAAGGAAATCAATTTTCCGTCTTTAATACATGTAAGCAGTGCTGTTCCTGGGGACCATGGACTAATTTCTGCACAAAATAATTGAAATTAGTCTAATATTTCTTTTTCAATCTATCAAAATTTGATATTGTTTATATTGTGTGTGATCAAGTCAATGTTTGATTGATGTTAATTTTATTATTTATTTTGATAAATTTTTTTTAGAAATAAATTCGTAGGGGACCAAATTCAAACGTTGTTATAGGGGTGGGGGATTATTTATTTTGATAAATGGTCTAACAAACTGACAAATAAGAAATTGTATTGGCCCTTCAATTTTCATTAAGGACAATTCAAGGTTAAAAGAATAGTATTTAATCTAATGTACATGGGTGGTCAGGATTCAGTAACATGGTCTTCAATTTTTTTCCCTTCCAGGGTTTTTTTTCCAAAAA